ATTTTTATTTTCTGCTATTTTCATAGGATCTAGTTAGACAATTCTTCTCATTTCCCTATACACCTAGGATGTTTGGCCTCATAGAAATATTTGTCTTGTGGGGCTTCTCTTGACAAATTGATTTTAATAACACAGAATGTCTCTTTACTCTGGGAAGCGAAAACAACCCCAAAGCGAGAAATTCTTATATATCTAGTACGAGCAATCAGCTTGTAGGACTGCACTCTTAGAACAAGGCAGACCACGGGGTCACTTGACTACCCCATGGGTACAAATCCTGGAGTTCCACAGAGACCCTACCGTGTGGGAAAGAGCGTGGAAGAATCTCCGTAGGAAGGAGAATCCAGGACCCAAGTAGATACGGACGAAATCAGACCATCCTAGCCTAATGGCACTAAAGGCCCTAAGAGATCCAAAAAGGAAATGAGAAAATTTCAAAGGCGCTCCAAAGTTTTCATTGGCCTGGGAGGCCCGCTTACCTATCCCAAGGATAATTATGTTAAAAAGTAGAAAACAGTCATTATGGTTGAAAAGGTTTAATCTTTCTTCAGTGTTGAGAAAATTCATCCTTAGATTTGGAACATTTGAATGTTTAAAAATAGTGACAGCTTGGGAAATAAAAATTCAATTCTGAGGACAGCTGTGTATTAATATGTATTGCTGCTTGTCTCAGTGTCTTTTCCTGTTGCTGTGATAAAGTACTCTGACAAAAGCAACTTAAGGGAGAAAGAGTTTATTTTGACACACCGTTCAGGGTACAGTCCCCTGTGTCAGGGAAGTCAAGGCAGCAAGAGCTTGAAGCAGCTGGTCACATCGGATCCATCCATGGTCAGGAAGCAGAGAGGGATGAAGGACTGTGTTCAGTTCACTGTCTCAATTAACCTGATCAACACAGTACTGTAGAGGCATACCTAGAGGCTAAATCAATTCCTCACAGATTTGCCTGGAGGTGTCTCCTAGGAGACACCAGATCCTGTCAAGTTAACAAGTAATACTAACCACCACAATGATGTATAGAGTATATTCGCCTGCTGATAAGATAGAAGGGGATTTTATGCATTTATTTTTCTTCTGCAGATACCTCATAAAGACATTTTATTTTAAATAGGGAAAATTGGTTATATTCCATAAGCAATGTGCTAATAAATAAGACTGAATTTTACCTCCTCGTTGTAAAAAAAAAAATGTAACAGCAAGGAGGCCCTACATCACTATGAAAATAAAAGATAATTGCTATGTTATGAAAGGAGCGTATTGAATCTTATCTATCAGTCAGCTAACATAGCAATAGTCCAATTTCATGTAATTTACCTCTATTTATAATATAATTTTCTTTCCAGTGCTTGTGCTCAAACCCAGGGCCTTCTACATTCTAGTAAAGTATTCTACCACTGAGTATTCCCAAACCTCGTTATGTTGAACTCAGCATAACTATCACCCAGGATCTAAGAGACTGCAAATTGCAGTGGCTTCAACCGCAGAAGATGACAGACACTCTTCACTCTGCTTTCCTGAAGTCTCTCCTGGGCCTCCCCTGTGCATTCTTGTCAGAATAGCTTAAAACATGCTGACTTGGCAACACAGGGTCAGAGAGTTAATGTGGAGCATTGGCCAAGAAGGGTGGCAATCTGCAGAGCAGAAAGAGAACGTGATTAGGCTTTCAGAGTCAATCTTTTGTTTTAAAAGCAGAAACAAATTCTCTTTCCAAAGTTCTATCCCCACAGCCTGAATCAGCAAGAGGAGTCATATATAGTATTGTATTGTACGTTCCTATTGGATTCTTGCCAATTCCTTTTAATTTTTCAACAAAACTCAAAATTATAGTGTCTATTTACTTATTTATTTAATCAATATTTGTTGAATAACTTGCTATCAATATTTAGTCATAAATGATATCCATTTTAAAATGGCAGGAAACAAAAAAAGTATTTATTTGGCCCCACTGTTTACCAGGATACTTTCTTCTGAATGTCACAACACCAAATAATGGTCAGTAATTTCATAAGAGTTTTGACCTTTATGAAAAATTAAAGGTACTCATATTGAATTCATGTAAATATAAATTTTGACTTCTGTGAGTGAGCTTGCATTACAGCATATAGCTGTGTTCTGTGATGTGCCTGAATGAGTTTACATGTTTCCTCTTCTGACTCTGCTGTGACCCCATGCTCTTCCAGTGAAGCTGGTGGTAACTCGAGCACTGATGATTACAGCTGACGTTCTAGCTGCCTTTGGATTTATCACTCTGCTCCTTGGTCTTGACTGCGTGAAATTCCTTCCTGATGAGCCGTACATTAAAGTCCGCATCTGCTTTGTTGCTGGAACCACATTACTCATAGCAGGTACTGATGGGGAGTAGTGGCAATGACTGGGATGCTCAGCTGAGGACAGGAGTTGGAGGAGAGGATGCTGTCCTCACAGCTCCTGCTAGCCTCTCCTGGGTTTGCTTCTCTGTGCTGCGGAACGGCAAGCACAGTTACTAGCACTTGCTTCATCTAGTGATTAGATTACTAGTCTTTTGTTTATGTCACAGATTAAGGTACAATGAAGTTCTCAGAATGTTTCTTAAACATTTGGAAGGTTCTTATAGGGCTTAAAATTTCATTTTGTAATTACTTTTAGAGTTAAATCCTAAAAGAAGCTCTGTTTCCACCTTCTTAACCTATATATTTTACCAATCTCCTGTAGCAATGAACTAAATTGACCAAGTTCTGTATTAGATTTTTCTCACATTTGATAATAAGTATATCAATAAACATTGTGAACTTCAGAAGCAGATAGAAAAAAATGGAGTTCAAAAGACGAATAAATCAAGCATAACCAAAAAACAAGAAGTCAAATAGTATTTCTTTATGTGATAAATCTTAGTAAAAGAGCCAAAGTGACATTTTGTTTAGCACTGCCTCAGTTATAGACTCAGTCTTCTGGATCACAACATAGTATCTCTTTGGATTGTGGCACACACTAGGAGTGGCACACACTAGGAGGAGGAATACTGAGGAAGAAATTAAGCTACTAGAAGGTTCTAAACTGAAGGGCCTGCCACCCAGAAAGAAAACCCCATTTATTTTCATAGTATAAGCAAACAATTTAACAAGGAAACCTGAGAACTGGAGCAAAGAAGATGGAACAAGGAGTAGAAAAGGGACTTTGGAACTAAAGGCACTATATGAAAAAAGCACGTGTGCACCCTTGAACTACTCAGTAAGAAGCCAATTTTTCTTTCTTTCCATAGTGACATGAACATATATCTTTGACTGTAGACTTTTCCTTCCTCAAGACTATTCTGGTTGCATATCTGCAGAGGCTGATGACAACATTGGCAGAAGGTGAAAAATACATATTCTATTTCTACTTCTGTGACTTTATTATACAGATCTACTTGTAGACATGCACAGAGGCCCAAAATTCTAGAGGAAAACCTAAGTGTTTCTCACTAGGCACAGATACATTTTACAAAACATCAGTACAACAGAATACTGTGTACTTCATAAAAACAGAAAATACACTTTTACATATAGACATGGAAGGATCTCTAAGATATACCATCAAATAAATAGAGCAAGGGACAAAATTATGGATTTACCATAATGACATGTGTACTTTGCATTTGTAGATGTTCAGACTCATGGAAAGACACACAAGAATGTGTTCACGGTGGGTATTCAGCTGAGACAGATTTCTGCTGGAGTGAGCGTGTGAGAAACGTTTGCTTTCTCCTCCCTTGTTTTTTAGTTAGTTTTCTAAAGCAATGTAAATACATTTCATAGAAATATTTTGGTTTAAATGCAAATAAAAGTAGAGATGACACAGAGGGCTTCAAGACATCACTAAAAAGTTGTATAAACAATACAAGGGCAGGAACCTTGTTCGTATACCCAGTATATACAACAACATCTTGTACAAGGCCTAAAGTGATCCCTAAATTTCTCCTTTGTCTCTCTCACAGAATTCATCATTGGAGGTATTTGGTCCTTTACCAAAGGCTCAAGGGAGTCTTGGATGATTTTTCTAGCATGGTATATAGTCTCTGTCTCCATCTCTTTGCTTACACTGTGCCACCCTCCAGGGAAAGACTCTCCCCTCATTTCCCTTCTTCACTCCTTTAAAATTGTTCTCATTCCTCACTCCAATCTGAAACTCCAATTTCTAATGAAGTTTTTCTTCGGGCTTCTGGGGAAACGTTCTCCTTCACTGGTAGTCTCAAGGTAGCCCTACCCCTATGTATGGCAGTAAAGTGATTCTCACAGTTCTCCATCCTGTCCGACTCAAGCACAGAGAAAGCTGTGTGGCCATGGCCTGTTCCATGTTTAAAACTAGCATGTGAACCTGAACTCCTTGGTTCTTTCCTTTGGTTTCTTTCCAGATGCCCCCCCTGAGCTTCCTCGAGTTGCCAAGTTCACCTGTCTGCAAGTCAGTCTACATCCCTCTTCCCACTGAATGCATCCCTGATAACTTAGGTTCAGGGAAAACATACTTTCCTGGTTCTTACCACAGTTAATTGCTAAGAAGTGTACTGGAAATTATCTATCTATCTATCTATCTATCTATCTATCTATCTATCTATCTATCTATCTTCTAGCTATCTATCATCTATCATCTATCTATCCTCTGTCATCTATCATCTATCTATCATCTATCAATCTCTATAATCTATCTATCTATCTATCTATCTATCATCTATCTATCTATACTCTATCTAATATCAGCACCTATATTTCATTTCTGAACCTACAAAACTAATTGAGGCTGAAGGAATAATATCTATCCTGAATTTCTACTGAGAAAATTCAGAGTGGGTGGAATAAGTTCTTAGCAAAGGGCCCACACTTCACATACTAAAAATGAGATATCTTGGACTTTCTTTTATACAAAAGCATTACTTTCCTGATATTCCTCAGGTTGTACTGAAAAGCTCCAGGAATTTAGCATTTTTCCTCATTTAAGATATTCTATCTATATCTTGTCTAATGAAAGCACAGAAATTTTTAATATAACAATGAGTTTATAACCAAGAAAATTGTACAGATTAGTTTCAGGAAAAAATTTAAGACATCATTAAATGCTCTATTTTCTATAAAATGATTAAAAATACATTGAAATCACTGAAGAAAAATCCTGTATCTATTAGCCTGTAGAAATGATCAAATTAAGAGGCCAGAGATAACTGAAGCTTTGAAAGAGTTATGCAGAATTACTATGTCATACACAAGCATTTTTTAAAAGAATGCAGTCTTTCCTGAAGTTGGAAAAAAAGGTACTTCAAATTAGTTTGTAGGTGCAACAGTATTGTAGGAAAGGAGTGGTATCTTATACCCTGTTTTCTAAAGGTTTCTTTTTAAATGCCTTGAATAATTAGAAAATAAAACCAAATAGTTTTTTTAAATCCTTATCACAGACTTCCAGGGTGAGGAGGGAAGTTGTGTTTTATTGGTGGGCAGACATTTTTTCAAAACACCCTTTAATAATGTTTTGGTTCCCAACTGGCCATCTTTCTTTCTTAGAGATAAGCCTTGATATACAATTTATGATTTAAAATAATGGAATCTCAGTGGTATCATTTCAACTAGTCAGTTGTTAGAGAGGCTAATCTATGGGTGATTAACTTAAATGTAAAGGGTATGATATTTCTATGCCCATTCTGGTGGGGTTTAAAAATGGAACATAAGAATGGATTAGACAATAACTTTTTACTTGTTATTTGTTTCTCCAACACAACAAATTGAATCATGTTAGACACAGTTTGCATGAGTGCTGACTATGTACATGTATTAGTTACTTTTCTGTTGCTGTGATAGAAACACTATTACCAAGGGAACTTATAAAAGGAAGAGTTTATTTAGCTTAAGGTTCCAAAGGGGCAAGAGTCCATCATGGTGGGGAGGCATGGTGGCAGAGGTGACTGGAGTAGGAGCAGAAGCTAAGCACTCACATCTTCAAGCAGGACAGGAAGCCAAGAGAGTGACTGGAGAGCTGGCAAGTCTTAAGAACTCTGTAAGCCCACCCTCCGTGATGTGCTTCCTTCCAGCATGGCCTCCCAAAACAGCACTACCAACTAGGGGCAAAATGTCCAAATGCCTGGAGCCTATGGGGGACATTCTCATTCAAACACCACAGTATCTGTCGTTGTTTCAGTCATGGGTCTTGGAAGTATGGCTTACACTTGCAATTGAAAAATAGTGTGAAATGAACAAATATGCTGTGTTACTGTGTTTGATTTCTTTTATTTCATATTAATTTTTAAAAGTATTTTTCTTTATGAAACAATCTTGAGCTATATAAGACATTTTGGTGAAGACAGGCCACACATATGATCTTATGGGGGCCTCATAAGATCATAATGGAGCTAAGAATTCCTATTACCTAGTGAAGCAGTAGCTGCCACAACACTGGCGCAAAAGGCAGTATGTGTTTGTAGCAATGCTGGCGTAGATTAGCCTCCTGGGACCAATCATATTCAAGCACACAGTTGGTAATGCTTTAGTAATTGTAATATACAATGTGTTACTAGTTTGTATGTTTAATATAACATACTTTTATCATTATTTTAGAGTGTATTTCTTCTACGTTCAGAAGAACCTTACTGTAAAGCAGCAGACCATGTTGCAGAAGCAGGGTTTGTCACTTATGCCACCAAATGTCTTCACTGCACTAGTTCCTCTTTTACTGACCAAAATTTCAGATTATTTTGTTCATAAAGAACTATGGTGTGTGTGTGTGTGTGTGTGTGTGTGTGTGTGTGTGTGTAGTTCAGGGATACAGCGTACCTTCACACAAATTTCTTTGAATATCTCTGTTAAATGATACATGGCCACACAGAACTAACCTTGGAAAGACAGGAAAATTAAAGAAAGCCATAGTGATCATTTTAGACTTACTTAAACAGATGTTATTTCATTTTAGTATTTCCTTTTGTGAATAAACTGAAATAAAATTTGGGAGATACACAAGACAGGAATTGTAAGGCAGTGATAAAGGAACTGTTCAAGATTTTATTTGCCCATGAATCACAGTATAAATGATGCCATGCATTTTGAACAGTAGACAAGTCCTCATATATTTAAATTTGGAAAATAGCTCATATTATCATAGCGCCCTCCATTTCTTTCAGGGGCCCCAGGAATCATCGGTTCTGTGTGGTATGCTGTTGATGTTTATGTGGAGCGTTCTTCCTTGATTATCCACAACATATTTCTTGGGATCCAGTATAAATTTGGTTGGTCCTGCTGGCTTGGGATGGCTGGTTCTCTGTGTTGCTTTTTGGCGGGATCTTTCCTCACCTGCTGCTTGTGCCTCTTTAAAGGTGAGTACAAAAATAGAACAACACCCCCTGCCCCCTGGCCTTCATTATTATCCTTCCCAGACCAAAGGAAACTCATCTCACAAGATCAAACGTTGCTCATTTTTATTTCATCCTAAGACTCTTAAAAATTCCACGCATGCCTTTAATCCCAGCACTTGGTAGGCAGAGGCAGGTGAATCTCTTTGAATTCAAGGCCAGCCTAGACTACATAGTGAGTTCCAGGACAGCTGGGGCTACAGGGAGACCCTGTCTCAAAAAAAGACACCCCTCAAAAATTCCAAGTATTCAAAGATAACTGAATTACAATACTCTGAGTTTATTGCCCAGTAGTAGGTATTAGTTAGAAAAGAAAATATACAGTCACACATCTGTGTATATTTAGACATATAATAATATTTTATATACGATGGTCATTTTTATGCTTCTAACTGCACTTAACCAACAAAGTTTGTTTAGCATTAAATGGAGGAGTCCACTGAGGGCCAACCAAATATTTGTTGGCAAAGAACTTGTATATTATATTGGTTTCCTAAAAGTCTACTTTAAAAACTAAAAACAATCCTTTCTTCGTAAGACAAAAAAAAAGGAAATAACTAAGCTACATTTTTAGTGTAAAATTTAACTTTCAGACAGAAAATTCCAGATTTTCACCTTGGAGTTTTGTTAAGATTCCTAGATAATTTCTATTGAGACTGTTCAACTGTGTGTGTGTGTGTGTGTGTGTGTGTGTGTGTGTGTGTCCCCATGAATTCTTGTCTGCTTTGGGGAAGAACACATAAAATGGCACTTTTTCTTTTTCCAAAGGTAACAGATTCATATTGACTTTCATTTCTCTGCATTTATCTCTTCCAAACAGATGTTGGGCCTGAGAGGAGCTATCTTTATGCTGTGAGGAAGCCCTATTCAATGGCAAGCATTTCCAGGGCTAAGTCTTACATGGCCCCTCGGACAGAGACTGCCAAGATGTATGCTGTAGACACCAGGGTATAAAATATGCCAAAGAGCAATCCCAGTTTCCGTGTTGTTTCAATAATCAGTCCATATGCTTAAATTAACTAAACAATAGTTCCATCTTGGAATAGATACTTCCACTTCGATTTCAACTAAATCACTAGCTCAACAAAATGTTTGATTCTGCCACCACTTCCCCATGATTCTCTCTATTCTCCCCCACAGTTTCCCTGCCTTTTGAGATAAAAGTGGATAGAATGTAGAAACCTCTGTTTCTGGTGTCTATATTGCTTTTCAAGATGATGACATGGTAAAATGACACTTCAAAACATGAAGCAATCTTTAAAGTGATTGGAGGTTCTGATTTTGAAAGGACAGAGTCTCTAATTTCTCTACCTCACTTTTAAGTCACATGTTATATTCTCATGGTGTTACTTAATAACTTTTGTAAGGTTATTGTTCCAAATTTAATCTTGTTTATCAAAGTCTAGCATTACTCAAATATCATTAAAATGGAAGCAGAAAATGCCACCCTCATGTACCAGTCTGTAGTGGCAGTTAAAGTTGAGAAATTCCTCTTTAACATTCTAAATGTCAAAGGCAAATGCTAAATTAATGCCGGAGCCAATGGTGACTTCTTCCTCACTAACATAAAAGATCAGAATATAATTTTAACAGCATCGCAACTCTGCCTATATGTTGCCAAATTATTATTAAATTGTTGTGACCATGTTGTCAGTCCTAGGTAATGTTGGGTCAATTTTCTCGGCCAATTAAGGAATTCAAGACAGGAAAAAAAATATCTCAGACCATCAGACAGCAAGAAGCAAATAAACTTTTATTGAAAGATAAGAGCACATCCACACATGCTCACATAGAGATATAAAACTCTCCATGAGTGGAGAGGGGAATTTGGAAACTGAGCATTCAATACCCCAGCCAGGACCTGGGTTTTAAGTGTTTTAGTGTTTTCTCCTCCCCTAATTTTGGACGGGTCAGCTGAAACAAAGAAGAAAGGCTGATAGGTTTATGGTTTCAAATGAAGAAGTGTCTTACCTGAACTGGTTTGGACTAGTTAGCTGGAAGGGGAACCCTGCTGATTTGAGGGGGAGCCCCCAGGATTTTTGTCTCAAGTCAAAATGAAGTTGGAAGTGTGCCATGCGTATTAATCCTTAGTGACCCAGTTTGCTTACCAGGGATTTTAGCCCCTTTACCCCTTTATTATTGTACGGTAACTCACCCAGGCAGTTTTTTCAAATATGGATTGAACATACGAATATATTTGTTGAATGTACCACATTAGAATTCAACAGTTCAGAGTCCCACCAACCCCAAATCCTTGGAACCCAGGTGTGGAATATCCAATGTGTGACAAAATATAGAAAATGTGTTGATTCTAATATACAAAAGTTCAAAACTACTGGAAAAAAGTTAAATAATAAAAAAAGTTTACAGAAGCAAGTGTTTGGTGTTAATGAGAAGCTATGAATAATTGCAGTGCAATTGTCTTTGAAATTTTGAAATCATAAAGCTCTAATAAAATCCAGAACATTGTTTAATCTCTTTTCCTCATTACTTATAATCATGGATATTAATACACTTGTATTACCCTGAAAGAACATTAGATGAACTAGAAGTTTGCTCTTAGAAAAAAATAAAAAGGGAGCTGTGAATTTCTGGAGAATTAAGAATATATAAAAAGAAGAGTGTTCTTAAAAAAAAAAAAAAAAAGGGGTGTGGAAATTTCGGGGAAACCCCCCCCCCCCCCCCGCCAAGTGCTTCTAATTTAGAAAGCTAACAGCAGGGTGAAAATGTGATGCTGGCATCTTCCTGTGTCATTATGTCACAAGATGTCATGGAATGTCTTCTAATATTATGTTCTGGAGGAATTACAACCTATTCTTACTGTTAAGAACAACTGGATGGTTGCCAGGTATGGTGTCACATGCATTTCTTTGATCTCAGCACTTGGGAGGTAGAAGCAAGGGATCTCTGTGAGTTGTAGACCAGCCTGGTCTAAATAGGGAGCTTCAGACCAGAGGGATATAGAGTGAGATTCTGTTTATTAGTTACTTTTCTGTTGCTATGAAAAAAATACCACAACTAAGGCAACTTATAGCAAAAAGAGTTTATTTAGCTTATGGTTCCAAAGGGGCAACAGTCCATCATGGTTGCCACACTTCTTAAAACCTCCCCCTAACTGAGGGCAAAAATGTTCAAATACTTGGAGCCTGTGGAGGACATTCTTATTCAAACTACCACACCCTATCTCAAAAACAAAACAATACACAACAGAAAGATACATTGTTTACATGTATGAAATTGTCAAGGAATAAATAAAAGATATTCTTTAAAAAAAAAAAAAAGAACAATCGGCTGTTATTTCATGAATTATTAGTGGTGTGACTGACATTTTAAAACTTGTGAATTGTGTGGAGTAGTCATGTAGACATTTTTCCCATGCGTTTCAAAACATTTTTGTACGTTCATTCTCAAATATTTTAGTATGTTTGTGGGGGGTGGGGGGCAGTGCATGCATGTGTGTATCTGTGTCCAGGTTTTTGTTCCAATGCATTTGTGTTCAGAAACCAGAGGAAGATACCAGTTGCAACAGTTTTAATTTTCAACTCCACACAATTTAGAATCACCTGAGAAAAAGAGTTTCAGTGAAGGATTGTCTAGACCAGGATCACTTGTGGGTATGTCTATGGGGGATTATCTTGATTATGATAATTGAGGTGGGAAGATCCACCCACTGCAGGTGACATTATTCCTAGGCAGGCATACCTGAATTTAAAAGAAGGGAGAAGGCAGGCAAACTGAACACAAGTGTCCCCATTAATTAATTCTAATTAATGTGTAATGTGACTAGCTGCCTCAAGTTTCTGCTGCCTTAATTTCCCCCATGATACTGGACTGCAAACTGGAATTTTGAGCTAAATAAACCCTTTAATAAACCCCTTAAGTTATCTTTGTCAAGAGTATTTTATCACAACAAAAGGATACAAAAGTAAGACATCAGGTGTTCTCTTCTATTGCTCTTTGCCATATTGCTTTGAGATAGGGTCTCTCACTAAACCTGGATGGAGCTTACTCTTTTTGTAGGCTGGTAGCCAGCAAGCCCCAGGAATCCTCCTGCCCCTACACCCTTCCCTGCTCCTGCTGTGCTGGAGTTACAGGCCTGTGAAACCACTCCAGGCTTTTTACCCTGGTGCTGGGAATCCAACTCAGGTTCCCATGCTGGTTTATTAAGTGCACTTAGTCATTGAAACATCGCTCCAGGTTTTTAAAAAAATTTTATTTATTCTTTAGTTCTGCCACAGTATCTTGCATATTCTATATATTTTAATGTTTCTTCTGAGGAAACTACAAGAAAATTATATAGTTCATTAGATCATAAATACTTGTTAAATTTGAAGATTTCCTGTGCATGAGAATATTTCAGACACTGGTAATAGTCGATATACATGACTATTTTCAATTAAAATGTTTCATATGGCCTGAAGGAATATCAACATTTGGGATTTTCAAAATTATATGAGACCACTGCTTCCTGATCCTTTGCATCCAGACCAACCCAGTTCCTTCTTGTGGTCCCAGGAGCCCTCTGGGCTTGGCCCCGCCTCACCTCCTTCTGCTTCGTGGGACTGCATGGCCAGCCAGCCTCTTTCCTGGGCACCTGGGCTGACCTCTCAGCCCTGGGCTACCACTGCTTCCTGATCCCTTGCATCCAGAAGGACCCACTTCTCCAGGTCCCAGGGACCCCTTGGGGCTTGGCCTTGCCCTCACCTCCCTCTGCTTCCCTAGGCCTGCAGGACACATGGGCCTCTCTCCACAAGCCTCTCTCTGGAGTAAGTCCATCATGCCCTCTGCACCTTGACTCCCCCAGCCTCATTCACCTTCCCATCTCCACTGCCCATCTCTCCTCCTAGCCTGGGTCCTGTCCCATTCCTTGTCTTGGTGCCTGAGACACCAGGGGAACCACCATTGCTTCATGATCCTTTGCATCCACACCAACCAAGTTCTTCAGTGTAGTCCCCAGTAGCCCTTGGGGCCTCTTCCTGCCCCCATCTCCATTTGGGTCTCTGGGTGGCATGGCCACCAGCTGCCTGAGACCAGCACCTTTCCTGGGCCCTGCTCCCAGGCCAGTCCAACTCCCAAATTCCTGAGGCCAAAATCTTTCCTGGAGGGATCCAGACCTTAGGAGAAAGCCTGAGGGCATCTGATCCTCATCTGATTTGGGCTTGTGTAGGAACTCCTGAAGACAAAAGCAATCTGGCCACTCCAATATAAAATCAAAAGAGAGAACTGGAAGCTTAGAGGAACAAGCTTTTCATGCCCAAAAAGTAAACCACAAAGGCACATAAAGTTTACAAAAAGAAGACCTAAATTTGAAGGCTTGAGTCTCACAATCACATGTCAAAATCACAGAGAGAAAATAATAATATGAAAAACCAAAATAACATATCCCCACCAAATACCAGTAATCCTCTAGAGGAGCACAATGAGACCCCCTAGAGACAATGCAGGACATGGAACTCAAAAGAACAATGATGAATATGATAAAAGAATTCAGTGAATTTAAGTTTAAAGAACACACAAACAAAGAAATCAAAGAACTGAAGGAAAACAGGGATAAACTTCTGAATGAATTCAGAAAAAAGCTAGAAATAGCAAAAACTACTCAGGCTGAAATGAAGAAGGAAGTAAAACACTCAGTCAATTAGAAACAACAGGAGAAAGCCTCACCAACAGGGTGAATGAAATGGAAAACAATATCAGGACTGGAAGATAAAGCAGACCACCTAGAACACTCAAGCAAAGATTATGAAACATTTAAGAAAGCACAAGAATGGAATATGCATGAATTGTGTGACACCATAAAAAGACCAAACTTATGAATCATAGGCATATAGGAAGGAGAAGAATCCCAAGATAATGGCATGGAACAGATCCTCAACAGAATCATAGAAGAAAATTTCCCAAAATTAAAGAAAGACATGCTGATACAAATACAAGAAGCATATAGAAATCCAAACAGATAGGACCAGAAAAGGAACTGTCCACAACACATCAGATAAAAATACTAAACGTAAAAATCAAAGAGACAATAGTGAAAGCTGCAAAAGAGAAACAACAAGTCACATATAAAGGAAAACCCATTAGGATTACAGAAACTTTTCAGTGCAAACAATGAAAGCCAGAAGAACCTGGACCAAAATATTCCCAGTTTTAAATGACCACATATTGCCATGCCTGCACAGCACGAAGCTGATCTCTGAGCTGAGGACGTCAGGATTGAAGAGACAATCACATTTTTAGTGTAGCAGAAGAAGCCTTTATTTCTCAGCCCCAGGTTGCTTTTATACCCTAGCCCAGAAGGCAGCTGACCCAACGGGGGTTGGGGAGCCGTTGCATGACCGCAGGGTCAGTGCCAGGTCATGGTGTCCTCAGGACCTGATACCAGAAAATGAGCTGGTAAACAATTCTGAGACTGAGGAATCACAAGGCCCAAAAGGTCACTGCAGGGGAGGTGCAGATGGAGGCCAGGACAGCATGTCCCAACATCTCACCCCTTTTCCTTTATATAACGGAAGATCCCCCTGTCTTAGGTCGTCCTGGAGGGGTCATCCCTTACCTGTCATTGAGAGGCCTCATCCCTGTCTTAGGTGGGCGCCCTCTCTGTGGAAGTTGCCCATCTACAGAGGCATCTTCAGCATTTGTATAGCATTTGCAGCCAGACCTGAGGTACATCTGGATTACCAGATGACAAGCTTAACAGGACTTGTTGAGTGCCCATCTGTTGAGACCGCGTAGATCTCATCTGTCGGCAAAGGACCCAGAGCCCAACGACTATGGCACTAAACCCAAGAATGGTCAGCAACAATGACCCCGCACACCGCTGAGCCCAGCCTCCCAGCTGGTCCATGGCATTCCACCAACCTTCAGCTGATGTAGGGGGCACCCTAGTATCATTAATTCTTATAATTTGATGAGCTAGATGAGACGTAAAATTAAGAAAGTTTACATTCCAGGGACCTCTCATATAGGCATTTAACTATTTTACAATTTCTGAGGCATTAACAACATGACCAGGTGTTACACAAACAGAATGATAAAAATGAGAACAGGACACTTGTTGCATCATCCATAAGGCGTCAACCTGCTCCTGCAGAAGCGCTGTTGTAGTGACACAATCTCCCCACATCAAAGCGTCTGGAAGATCAAAGTTAGTGGTTGAAGGCCAACAGCGAGGGGCTGGCTCCATACCGTTTGTTCACTCAGGGCAGGATTCATCAAGATGATTGCTGCTGGCACCTGTAGAATCAGCATTGGCCTCATCAAGGTTGGCCTCCACTGGACGAACATATCTTTCAGGAACCCAAATGGGTTTACGCTCCCCTGGAGGATAAACACAAACAGCCCCTCTCACCCTGGCTAATAAGGGTGTC